CGCTTTTGGGTAGCTAACTACGCTGTTTTGATTGCGCCCTGGACCACGGCGTGGACTATTCGAGCTATGGCTAGGCATTTCTCCTCTTCAAACTTTCGCCCTACGATTTGGACACCTACTGGAGCCCCGTCATATAAATCTGCGTTGTCTGTAATCATTAGCTAAGCCTAAAAGCCCCATGTAACGGCCCATCGATTGCGGTGTAATTCCGAGGGCCAACTTACAAGCTTGCCAATTCTTCCTATCAATCTCACCCAGCGGTTCATATCCCTCATTAAGAACATCAATCCTCTTATCCGCTCTGATCGTGGGAATAACGACAGCCGTGTAATTCGTCAAGTTCATCGCATCAGTGTACGCTGCACTATCTTAGCACCAGCACATGAAACAACGCCTCACACTACTAACCTCCGTGGTAGAACTTTCCGGGTATCACAGCTGCATGAGGCGCTACAGGCATGAGAACAGCATCTACGATCTGACCTACGAGATGTTAGTATTTTAGATTCACACGACCGTTTCTTAGATACCATCTGAGTCCGCGGTTGAGTTCCAGTAATCGGAATACTGCCGCTCGTACTCAAGACCTTGGATTGTAAGATCCTGATACTTGAGTAACTCCGTCGGGGTTTTCAGACTGAGGCCGTCTTTCAGATCTGGGATTAGAGGCTCGCCGGATCGATTAAGGTGCTGGTGGATGTCGTGCGCCCCGTCTGCGCTGAGAAACCCTCCCTGTAGCATCTTGTCAGCGCACTCACATGTTCAGGTTTGAGTAACTTGCGTGAATATTTGTTGCAGTTTCATGTGATGGTGGTTTCCAGTCAACGACCTGGCGTTCGTCAGTCGTAAGCTTTGGCCTCATTTGTCGCCGCGTACCTTGTGCCCAGCTTTCTTCAGCGCATCGACTACTACCGTCAACCCCCGAAGAACAGGCGGGTGTAGTCCTACCATCCCATCACACCAAAAGACGCCCATCTTCAGTGGCCTCTCGCCAAACTTGGCGTTCCCTTTCTCATCCGCTCGCCTCCGATACGATTCCATGACATCTTTTCGAAAGGGAATCGGTATAACAGCTGGGTCTTTCATCCAAGGTTCCCTTCCAAGAATAGCCTTAAACACCACCTCCAGCGCATCAATCGACGTTCCCATAAACCCAATTGTAGACCGATATGTATCCTGTCCAGGGTTCGTGTTCGCAACACCGCGATAGCTTAGTCGATTCGATGTGGGCTTTATGGAAAAGATTCCGCAAAAGCCAGCTGGTATCCTCAGCGATCCACCGATATCTGTACCAACACCAACCGAGCTTCCGCCCAATGCCATAAGCGCTGCCTCACCACCTGAAGAGCCGCCACATGACAAGTTCTGATTGATCGGGTTTAATGTCTGGCCAATGAGGTTGTTCTTTGTCTCGCCAAATAGGAGGGTTTGAGGGAGGCTTGTCTTGCAGTATAGCACTGCCCCGAGGGAGAGTAGCTCGGTGACGATCTGGCTTTCTGCCGTGTGAGACTTTTCAGGGTTGATTCCCAGATTTCCGCCTATCCAACCAACGTAGCCCATTGTGGTATCGACACCTTTCACGTGGAATTGGTCTTTGAGACTGATAGGTAGACCATGAAGTGGTCCAAGCGCCTTTCCATGTTTGGTGAAGTAATCGTCCAGATACCGGGCGCGTCCAAATGCTTGATCAAAGAGGATTTCGTGAAGACAATTATTCTAAGCTTGGTATCAATCTCACATTCTTGCAGGCTCTTGCATAGAACTTCACTTGTACTCACGATCTGATGAGCCACCGCCGCTCGTTGACAGAATGCCCTCACGACCTTCATCGTTGTGAGTTCTTGTTCGGACACAGCCTTTAAAACCTCAACAGTCTTTAGAGATGTGATAGAAGCTGTTTCTTCGTCGAGGAACCGCTCAATAAAAGATCCCGTGATGTCGCGTTGGCTGTGAGCATGTTCGAGGTCCTCTGAGGATAATCTCCATTCTGAAGGGATCTTGTCTAAGGTCGCGGCGCGCTTGACTGCTGCTCGAGCCTCCCACGAGTTCTGATCCATTTTTGACAACTGAAATGAATGTTAAAAATGGATTCAAAGGTCAGAGTTGAGAATAATTAAATTTCGGGGACAGATCTGCAGCCTGTACGATGCCGATTTATCGATGAAAGGAGTGCAAGAATGAATGACGACGACATCTGCAGTTCTAAGACATGTGATGAAAATGGCCCGCACGCATGTCAAGTTCGGAGGTTCGCGTTTATGATAGTCCTTTTTAATGTTATTTTTATTTTTATTTGCTAGAGAAGCAAAGCGTAGCGCTGAAAAACGCTTTGCAGTAATGTGATCACCAGTATGCCTAACTTAGTCTTGCTCTGCAAACAATTAACAAATCCCGCTCGTGTCAGGATCCCTTTGAGAACTGCATCCTTGACCTCGCGATCAGCCAATTGACCAGATCCTCCCAACGTCCACAATCAACCGCCATGTCAAAATACGAAACAAAACAAAGTATCATGTCTTCCGAATGAGGAGCAGCGTCCATCACAATATGTGTGACAAATCGAAAAACTGTGCTCGTACTGGTTCTCGGAGCTGCCCATAGCGACGTGCGCGCTCCTCTGCACTACGCAGCACGTCACTCTCAGGTATAGTCATCTCGACTGCTCTAAGATCGACACTCGCAGAACGAGCAAGCCGTTTCGCGGAATTGAACTTGTCACTTTTGTACATCTTTGACAGGATCGGTCCCACAAGGACCATCGCAGCAAGGGCAAGCTTCGTTTCCTTCACATCGTACAAATACTCTGTCAACAAGGCCTGGATCTCCTTGCCACTCCAGCCCCAGTACGGCTGTTGATACAAATCGTCTGTCAAGGTCAGCCGCTCGACATACTTCGGGATGAGGTAGCGCAGCGGCGAAAGGTGTTCACTCTTCGATGGGCCAGCGATGAGGATCCATGGGACAGTGAGAATGCGGAGATTTGAGAAGTCGTGTAGCTTGAGAGGCGAGCCCTGCAGGGCTAATGGCCAGAGTGGATCTAGCCCTTCATCCAGGACATTAATGTTGTCAACAACGAGGAGCTGTAGGCTTTTGAGTTTCAATCGATGGCTTTTCAGTGAAACACCTAGTGTGGCGACATCCAGTCTCTGGGAGTTGGTGGAAAAAAGATCTGCCAATGGATAGCAGCCATAGGTATACTTCAGATCATCGAGATTGGGTGCGAGGGAAAGAATTCGCCCAAGTTCCCCTTCACTGATTCGCTTCAGGTTCAGACATCTAAGATGTTCCAACTTCGCCGTGATGGTGAAGGGTCGTGATGCCTCGGGAAAGCTGCCTGAGATGGAAAGATTCTCAAGCATACGAAGATGAAAGAAGCTTTGGTAGATGTTGTTGAAGCTGAAATGGATGTGGTGGTACGTCGCACAATGGTTGTCGACAGTAACATGGCGGAGATGCTCGAATTTATGCACGTTACTGCCTCCTGGGTTGTTGTAGCTCTCTGGGCTCAATAACAGCCGGAGATAGCATATCTCAACAGAGAAGAACTCGCCAAGATAAAGGCTTCTGAGATTTGGAGTAAGTGCCACGACGAGACTGACGAGAGAGTCGATCTGGCCCTTCAAGAAAGCGTGAGCCCAGTCTAACCCCTGGTAGAGATCTAAAGCCTTGATGAACTGGACTGCCCTCAACTTGTCTTCATCTGTGAGGTGGAAGATTGGCGTGGTCGGAAGTTCGTCAAGTTCTCTCTCGACAAAGTCATATCCATCGAAACGCAGATGCTGAACAGCTTGAGCCAGGTCAGGCCGCCACAGAAGAGTTCGTAAGACAAGTACCAGCGGGATGGAGCGCCATCCGGGACTGAGGCTAGGGCAATTGACATCGACCTCTCTGTGAAGAGCAGGCTGGGCGATGCTGGCGAGGTGCTTGTTGACGCGCGACAAAGCAACGAGACCCTCTTTGGGCACAGATTCTAGGACTTGGAGCTGGATCTCGACGGGGCAAGCGAGAAATCGCGAAGGCTGTCTGTGAAGGGGTCAGATCAGCAACCCAGAAAGATGAAAGAGACTTACTTGGGCGCTTTCGGCTTGCGTTTCTTGGGTACAGAGAGAGGAGGCATATTCCGCGAGGAACGGGTCCGTATGTCGCGTGTACCGCCGCGATTCATGGTGAACACCACGAAGAATGAAAAGTTGATAAGGAAGAAAAACAAGCGATGTGACTTTCGTTGTGAGAGCAAAGGAAGGGGGAATGAAGAGGCGACGTCGTAAGTTTGTTTTGAGTTGGCTTGGTGACTTTGAAGCCGTTTGCCTGTGTCACGTGGTATCACAGTGAAGCAGAGCGATGCGTTTGCAGTGCCAAACAGATGCCAGGCAAACAAAGGGCTTATATACTTTAAGGACAGCTTTATTTAATGGTGTTGATATTCCTTGCCAGTGCTAGGCACATCTGATGGAGAATATGAATATTCACTACTTGTTTTCCTTAAACATTTTAACTGGAGTTCAAGATAATTCAATCTCAAGAGATCAATTACACACAACCTAATAGTCTATACGTTTTGAATCCATAGCATTTACTTGGCTTCTTCGATGTAAATATTATACTTGATGAGGATCTCAACTTCAAGTCCGTCCAACAACGGTTAGCGCAACTGACGCCATCACTCCAAGCCGGGTCCTCCTTATCTACAACGCGGGGAAAGCTTCGGCGAACTTGACTCTGCTTTATCATGTATTTATGCCCCAAGAATTTCCTCATCATGATCAACCGCCGGAAATGTCCGACACTCCCTCAAATCGTAAACGAAACAGCGTCCGACGTGCTAATGTGACGGCCTGTCAGCGATGCAAGTCCCGAAAACAGCGCTGCGACCAGAACATCCCGGCATGCTCATCGTGTGCCCGTGCTGGTGTGCCGTGTGTAAGCGTTGATGTAGATGGGCAGTCTATGCCTCGAAGGTATTGGACCCTGTCCTCTTTTCTTCTGTCAAAAGACATTGCATGCATGCTTACTTGAACGTCCTCAGCTACATCAAGAATCTCGAGGATCGCGTCGCTGAGCTTGAGCTCGCCCTCCGGAATCAAGGGATAGACACCGAGTCTGATGCCAGCCGAGCTTCCCAAGATGCTCTTGAATCAACACCGGAGGCGCACAACTCTAATGATCTGAATTTACTGCGCCTGCTAGTACCCAGGCCAAATGATATACAGCACCCCCAAGAGTCAGCTTACCATACTCTCCTTGATACCATCACTGTACCAGATACCATCAAACTCCCTCCCAAGCCAACCGCTGTCCAACTCACCGCCACATATTTCGAACATTCTAATTTCTTCTCCCCTGTCTTGAACCAGGAATTATTCCACGATACCATTGCCATACTGTATCAAGACCAGACGTCTCCTGGCCAGGGCACCTCAGTACCGAAATTCCAGCTTTGCATGGTCCTAGCCATCGCCATCAGACTTCTCAACAGGACGGATTCTTCCATTCCTACGACTGCATCCGACTCATTCTTTGCGTCGGCTATTGTGATACTCACAGACCGGCCGCAAGCTACCTGGAGAGGCGACCTTCAACATCTCCAAAACCTTCTCCTCATTGTACAGTATACCATTTTCGCTTCAAACCTCTCTGCGGCTTGGCACTTCATTGGTCTGGCAACACGATTGGCTATTGACCTCGACCTCCTCAACGAAACTCGATTGTCCGTGATAGAAGACGCGCATGAGAATGAGGCAGAGGTCAACAAGAGACGTCGAGTATTCTGGTCGACATACATACTCGAAACAAACCTCTGCGTTATACTCAATCGCCCAAGATCAATACCTGACGAAGCCATCTTCACGTCCCTCCCCTCAACAAGCGGATCCGAGTCATCAAGTCCACTAGCAAACCACTGCATCCTCTTCCGCCAACTAGAATATGAAATCTTCCATACACTCAACTACAAACCTCGTGCGAACGGCACCTTCTTCGATTATAAAGCCTGGAAGACGGGCATGAAGGATCGCCTTGTGGAGTGGCATGCAAATGTGCCTCCCTTAGACCCAACATCAAAGCTTGCGCCCCAGAACTTTTTCGACGGCGCTTTATACATGACTCTTGTCTATCTTTTCTCACCATCTCGTCACTTTCCTCACCTTTCGGAGGATGAGCTGAGAGATCTTGCGCAGTATGCTTCTACGAGTATTGAGCTCTACAGAGAGGGATTCAAAGAGGGCAAGTTGAGGTTCTACTGGCGAACGACACCCAACTTGTTTCAATCAGGTGCAGCCCTGATCCATTGTATCAAAATTCTTACGCTGCAAGGTGCAGTGTTTGACGTGAACGCCTTGAAGAGTCGGGTGTCTGTCTGTTCGACAGTTCTGTGGGGTATGGCAGAGCGGTATCCTCCTGGAGCTTCATACCGTGACCGCTTCGATGAGATGTCAGCTACTGTAGATGAAATGGCCTCAGAGCTGCCGATGGATATCTCAAGCGACTTCCTCTTTAGGCATAATGTATTGCCTTCGTTGGATCTGGATGGGGCAGCGACTCTATGGACGTCAACACCGCCCACTTTGGATCCGTGGATACTGGATCAAATATAACTGTAACAACAATCATCTATCGGCGTCTGATGAAACTAATTGATGATCATATTTGTTTTAATTTTCACAATTCAAACTCCTTACTTTGGTTTTCTATCGTAATCTAGACCAGCTCTCAAAGGCCCTGGAGCGGGTCAGGCGGTGCTGGATCACTCCTCAGACTCTTCTCAAACGCGGCCCTCAACCTCATAACCGGTTGCATGACCCAAGTGTTGTAAGCCAAAATATCCGTCTCCTCCTTTGGGTCTCTCACCACATTGAACAGATACGGAGACTCCAGCTTTCCAGACGATTGGTTGACCTTTGGTTCCCAGACCAGATGAAGCTTCCAGTCTTTCCACTTGACGGCGCGCAGCTCATCCTTGATGTAGAAGAGGAACCCTTCACGCTGGGATTTGACGGCAGCGGGATCCTTGAAGAATGCTATTTGGCTGATACCATCAATAGGTCTATCAGATGGTGGTTCTGAGCCAGCTATTTCAAGGATGCTTGTGAAGATATCGGTGACGTGGACTATCTCGTTGGATGTTACCCCAGTCGGGACTTTTCCCGGCCATCGAATGATAAAGGGAACTCTCAGGCTTCCCTCCATGGCAGTGTGATATGTGCCGGACCAAGGCCCAGCAGTACCCTTGTAGGGAGGTCTGAACTCAGGTCCATTGTCAGAGGCAAATATCAAGACCGTGTTGTCGCGAACTCCAAGGTCGTCAAGATGGTCGATCAACTGACCAACTCGGTAATCCATCTCAGCCATAGAGTCGGCAAACTCTCCCTGTCCCGTCTTCCCTTCAAAGTCGCGATGCGGTAAAGTTGGGAAATGCAGATGGACCAGAGGATGGTACAAAAAGAAGGGCTTCTCTGCTGTAACTTGGCGCGATAGCCAATCTTTTGACTGGTCAACCAGCATCTCATCGATCAACCTTCTCTTATCGAGGTCATACACACAAACGTTCTCGGAGTCCTGGCCAGCGACACCTTTCATGATATATGGCAACTCGGCAACTTCAGGTGTATATCCCAAAGCCGACGTAAACTGACTCTCATCAGTCGTCCTGGGAATCCCAAACCACTCATCAAACCCCCTATCGGAAGGGTACCGACCAGGGACATCACCAAGATGCCATTTCCCATGATGAGCCGTCGCATAACCCTCTGGCTTGAGACACTCAGGCAGTGTACGCTCCCAGTTGGTAAGACCCTGGGGAAACCCGGCCGGGACGGATTGTCGGCAGCCGGTTCGGATGGGATAACGGCCTGTCATCAAGGCCGAGCGCGTGGGAACACAGTCACTCTCCACGTTGAAGTTGTGAAGAAGAAGACCTTCGGTGGCGAGCTTGTCGATGCGCGGTGTTGCAGCGCCGCGAAGAATGCCTCCGCCATAGCAGCCTAACTCACCCCAACCGAGATTATCGGCTAGGATGAGCACGATGTTTGGTTTTGCTGGATCCTTGGACATTTTCAAAATGTCTTAATTTCTTTGACCCTGAGTTCTCTGCAATTGAGTCAACTTCATTTAATAACTTCGCTGTGAGCTCATTATCCTCGTCAATCGCGTATGCTCAAGGGCTCAGCTTGAAGCCATCGGCGACTCGTCCGAAACCCCACATTTTCGCTCATCGCCGACGCTCACCTCCGACGACTAGATCGTCTCCCTCTTGGATGATCTAGCAAACCTTCTTGATGGGTAAAGATACACGATATTGACATTCAATGGCGTGCGCATCAGATTGTCTTTGATACCTTATCATGGTTGTGAGTTAGAATTCTTGGTATGGTGATGAAAGAGTATAAAGACAGATGATAGTCGACGACTGGACCATCAATCCGATACAGGGCGTGAATAATACATGAACCCGGCATCATCATGGCTCTGGATCCTTCTTCCGAGATGGGTTCTATCAAGGCTGATAAAGAAACTCACGATCTTAATGATGCGCCGCAGTCAATTGTCGCGCAGTCTGTCTGGACAGAAGACGAAGAGAAGGCAGTCGTCAGAAAGTAAGTTGACAATCCCCTTTTCCACTTAATGCCCCAGGCTCACATACCAGACTCGACATGATCCTCATGCCTCTCCTTGTCCTCGGCTTCTACGCCCTCCAGCTCGACCGCAGCAACATCAGCAACGCCCTAACCGACACGCTCACAACCGATCTCAACATTACCAAAGACGACGTCAACCTCGGCGACCAGCTCATGATGGCCGGCATAATCATCGCCGAGATCCCCTCCAACATCATCCTCCAGAAGCTCGGCGCACCGATCTGGCTTACAGGCCAGGTACTCATCTGGGGCACTGTTGCGCTGACGCAAGCTTGGGTCACGAATGTGCATTCGTTCTTTGCGACGCGTTTCCTGCTGGGCTTCTGTGAGGCTGGGTTCATCCCAGGTGGACAGTATATGCTTGCGCTGTTTTATCGAGAGAAGGAGTTGGCGCTGAGAACGTCGATCTTTTATTTCGGGAATTACTTTGCTACTGCTACCGGGTCATTGATCGCTGCGGGTGTTTTGCAAATGGGCGGTATAGCTGGTCTGGCTGGTTGGCAGTGGCTCTTTATCAGTTCGTTCCTCTTGCATTTCCCCGTCATGGGTGTTGCTAACATCAAATAGTTGAGGGTATTTTTACCCTACTGGTCTTCGTTGTCTTCATCCTTCTTCTCCCTCGATCTCCAATTCATACCAGACCTATTCACGGATGTTTCGACCTCTTCACCTCTCGTGAGCGCGAAATCATGCATGCCAGAATCTATCAAGAAGACATCTCCAAGACCGAGGCCCACGTAAACATCACCGTCCGAGACGTCGTCGTCGCCCTCGCCGACTACCGTATCTGGATCCACACTATTCTCAACCTCGTTTCTCTCGCGCCCAAGGGCGGTCTTCAACTCTACGGCCCAACCATCATTCGAAGCCTGGGCTTTAGCAAGATCAACTCCAACCTTCTAAACTCTGTCAGCAGCTTCCTCGTCGTGTTTCTCAGCTTCGCCATCGCTTGGGCATCCGACAAAACGAAACAGCGAGGTCTGTGGTGCATGGCCGCGTTTCTTTGGAGTATCACATTTGGCGGCGCTTTGTTTGGATCAACTGATAAGGATAAGTGGACCAAATACGCGCTCTTCACCCTCTTGAGCAGCGGCAATGCGCTATCTCAGGGTCTCAATGATGCCTGGCTGAGTATCAATGCTCGATCTGCTGAGACGCGCAGTATTGGATTGGCGATGGTGGTCATTGGGAGCAATGCTGGTGGGTTGGCTGGAAAGCAGCTGTTTCGCGAGAGTGATGCGCCGAAGTATACAAAGGGTTTTCTGGCTATTGTTTTGTTGTATGCTGCTGCTTTGCCCATCACCGCTACGATTATGGGGGTTTATTGGAGGCAGAATAAGAAATTGGAGAGGGGGCTCGTTGAGAATGAGGATGGTGTTGATGTTGATGAACGGACAGGAAGAAGCCAGCGCTTTCAGCTGTAGATGGGTTTTAATTGCAGTCGATCTTCTATGCTCGATCATTTTGCAGTCCTGCCTATAGTCTCTTTGTTAGTTCAATTCGAGAGATACACCATGATAACAATGCCGGTATCAACGGCTTATTTCCCGACTCTAAGAGTTCCTCTTCAGTGGGGAAAACCCCGATGACGGCCCAAACTCACCGTTCCTAACCGCAAAAGGCCGCTCCAAGCGTCAACCTCCAATGAGAATGCCCCATCTCCACCTCTGAACCTCAAATACCGGTCCCGGGAGTTCAGTTCAGTTCAGTCTACCCTGCCAGCCCAGCCCTGTCAAGCTGAGCATCTGCACACCGAGACAAGATCTCCGGGCCATCATGGACTCACCTCACACGGACGAAAAGAACACCACTCTCACCGAGCAAGAACGAAAGTAAATCTCCCCGACCCCGCACCTCTCCATCCTCCCTAACAAAATGCAGAAAACTCCGCAATCGCTTATCGCAACGGGCGTTTCGTCGCAGACAGGCAGAATGTATCCGCGAGCTAAAGAACCGTGTAAATGCGGACCAGCGATCAGATAGTGAGCGCGTAGAAGCGCTACAGAAGGAGAATCGATTGCTGAGGCAGCAGTTGATTGATGTCCAGACAAAGATGTCAAGGATGATGGCATCGGTGCAGTTGTTGAGTGACTCGGTGGCTAAGACGCTTGACGATACTGCAAGTGGTGAGGGGGATGAGCGACAGAGAGATGAGCGACAGAGAGATAGGGCTGAGCGGGTGAATGGAAGGACGGGGAATGATGAGCATATCGCCGAAGAGTCCGCGCTGCAGTCTATTGATCTGGAGGCGTTTGATCCGTCGATTCTAGACTTTGATGCGCCGTTTTCATCATCGAGCGTCACTGGTAAGTACCAGCATTCATTTTATGACCTCAGGCTAATAATGATTGATCGAAGCATCAACAGACAATGGTATCTCGTCAGAACTCATCAATGTCTCTGGCACAAGCCCTTTTTACTCTCAGATCCCGAATATCTGGAGTCATGAGTATCAAATGGGAATGCAACCTTATCTAAATGCCATCAACGCAACAACTGAGTCAAGTCTGGTCCTCGGGAAAGATTACTCTTTCACCAATTCACCATTCTCAGATCACATTCAGCTACTTCAGCGAATGCTTAAGAACAAGCTTAATACTCTTGGATTCGTTCCAGAAGGTCATAATCCTGTCCAGAGGTATACGCCCCCTGCGTCACATCTTTAAAGCTTTCTAACTGGTGTAGTGTCTACCAACCAGTTCTCATGGTCTTGTCCATGTTCAACAGCATGACCCGTCCGGATGTAATGGCATGGTACGCCAAAACACGCTTCTACCACATCATCGAGCTCACAGCCTGGCAACTCTACCCATCCTCCGCAACCTTCAATAAGCTCCATCCCCGCTACCGCCCTACAACGGCACAGCTCGAGAATCCTCACCCGGGCATCATCGACTGGATACCCTTTCCCACAATCCGCGATCGCTTGATCCAGCTACACTCTGCAAACCCCCACATCGACCAGATCTTCTGCGACGCTGTAACTGGCTACGTCGTTGAGGCGCTCATGTCGGATCTCGTCCTAGGTGCCCCGCAGATAACGGTCTACGTGCGTGTAACAGACCTCATCAACACCATGTCGTCCGCTACATCCGAGAGCGAAAACACAATCGCCATGCTTCCCGCCCCGGACATCTCAACGTTATTCTCATCACCTGCATATGCTCGCGCCGCATTCAATAACTTGAACATGGACAAGGGCGCGGGCTACTACAAGATCGACCCCGCCTTCTTCGAAAAGTACCCTGAGCTCTGGGACCAGGCCAGCGATGTCACAGCAACGGGAATGCCACTGAAGCCAAAGCATCAAAAGATCCTGACCTACCCAAAGCCGCTCGACTCCTCGACTGTGGAGACTTATCGAAGCTTTATCGATTTTTCTCTCGACGCGGCGAATACGATATCAATGTCCCCATGATCCCACCAACCGGGCCGGTTCTCGTTATCTCTCAGGAAAATTAACTCCTCACATGATGCAATATACGCGTGAGGACGGCATTATTAGCGCAATTGGGTTTGGTAAAGTTTCGGGAAGCGTAATGGAATGTTGAGTAAACGACCCACCACGATAGGTTTGACTAACACACCAGTTACTAACACCTCGATTCTGTGATTCATCTGTGGATCATCGAGTGGGGGGTGAAATCATCTATATAGAAATGCCAGAATTAGTAACTACAGCACCATCACAACCACCATTTCTAATTCAATCGTCAAAATGCCGTCTCAAATACCAACCTCAATTCCTCGCTATAGTTTCATGGACGATTATAGCGAGGGTGCACATCCCGCTCTTCTCAAAGCTTTGATCACCAGCAACACAACCCAAGAAACCGGCTACGGAGGCGATACATACTGTGATCTCGCACGGCAGCGAATCCGTCGCCATCTCGGCCGCGACGACGTTGGCATATTCTTCGTGCCGAGCGGGACATCAGCCAATGCCATCTCCATCGCCGCATGTCTCCGGCCTCATGAAGCCGTCATCGCTGCTAGCTCTGGCCATATCGTGACGAGGGAGACAGGCGCGGTAGAAGCAAGCGGTCATAAAATCATCAACGTCACACCTCAGAATGGAAAGCTCACGCCTGCGACGATCGAGCGTGCGCTAGATGATAATTGGCATTTTCCTCACATGGCGAAACCTCGGCTGGTGTATATATCCAATGCAACTGAGATCGGGACCATATACTCTCGCGCCGAACTCGCAGCAATAAAACAAGTCTGTGAAAAGAACGGTCTCATTCTCTTCCTCGACGGCGCTCGGATCGGCACCGCTCTCGCCTCAAAAGCAAACGACATGACCCTCTCCGACATACTCGAACTCACAGACATCTTCTGGATAGGCGGCACAAAAAACGGCGCCCTTCTGGGCGAAGCCGTCGTCGTGAAAGACGCCCGCCTCTCGTCCGAGTTCGAATTCTACGTCAAGCAGCACGGCTCCCTCCTCGCAAAAGGTCGTGTCATCGGCGCGCAATTCGCAGAGCTCTTCGAGGGAGATCTGTACTTTGAATTAGCGCGCAAGGCGAATTTGGCTGCTGAGTCGTTATCGAGTGGTATAGCGCAGGGAGGATTTTCGGTATATGCTGCGACGGAGACGAATCAGGTTTTTGCGGTGCTGCCGTTGAGTTTGATCAAGGTGCTGAAGGAGAGCTTTAGTTTCTATGTTTGGGAGAAGTGCGGTGATGATGAGGCTGTTATCAGATTGCTTACGACGTGGGCGACGGAGGGGGCGCAGGTTGAGAGGTTTGTGGAGATGGTGCATTCTTGGACTGTGTAGACGGCGTTAAGGATGAAAAGTTGTGACGGATCTCAGCTTTGGAATAATGTTCTTGCTTGTTGATGAGAGTTGGAATACCTGCCTATAGACAAATAACTAACTGCGACATAATATCTCGTTTTCGACCCTGGGGTTTACAGATTCGGAGTCCTTATATTCCCTCTGTCGGGAAGTATCAATATGGCTGCCTCGCTTTGATGTCCACGACCTCTAACTTGGTGCCAATATTCTAAAATTCTGTTATCTGCGTTGGACATCTCATCATGCTCAGGCTTGCTTAGTCACCAGTAAGCGACGAGAAGGATTCACGCCATTTGACCGCTTAACTGACGTCGACCATTCTCTCCTTACTAGTCCTTTCATACGACGATCATGGCAGCCGTAGATTCAGATTTGGAAAGGGAATTCAGGTTTCTGAAGTACCTTGACGATGCTGATCAACGCCAAGACCCGATAACCGTAAAGCGCTCGGCCTATTGGTGCTACTGCGGTCCTCTCCTCGACCCTCCAGGGTCATCACTACCTGATAACTTCTATGACTTTGAGAGTCAAGTCTTTACAGAATCTATTCGCTCTAAATTCATTCCTTTTATGAGCTACATCAACAACCTTCTCCTCAATAAGGGGTTTAAGGATTACTTCCTTACAATACGCGCTACGACACCTACTCATGAGTTCGATCAACCAAGATGGCATGCAGATGAACTCTTCTTCACTACAGATGTACTCCCAGGCACCCGACTAGGCCTCAAATCGCAACACCAAAAGCATCATAAAAATACTGGAACGGACTGGAAGATCTGTACTACCCTTCTCGGCCCCTCAACGCTCTTCATACCCTCATCCCACCAACCTTCGGCGCGCAAAGCACAAGAGTCCGCTCGTGAGTCAGCAAGCACAGAGCATGAGTGTGTGTCAATCCGTTGTGTTGGCTGTGCAGCTGCAGCAGATGCTGTACGCGATGAACTCGCTGCTGTATTAGAACCCTTTGGTGTAGAAGCAGCAGAAATAGGCGAATGCTCTGTGTTCAAAGTTGGCAGGGAATCTGGAGCAGTGCACTCTGAGCCTTGTATGAGCGAGGGAAATAGTGGAAGGGTTTTTATCAATGTCGTGCCAGGGACGGAGGACGAGTTAAGAGTGCTGATGCATGAATGGGGCATGCAGTTCCCTAGACAGTGGTGGGTTGGAGGGAGATGAAAGCGAGACACTCAAGCTGTGTATAAAATTGTAATTATATAACGCTCGCTTCTTGATACGCTATCTGAGAGCCTTATTTTACTTGGTCTTGTTGGAAAAGTCGGAGATTGTTGGTCTCATGGTCAACACGTGTTTCGTCGCGTTGAGGCTTCACAGCATGGGGCTCGGAGAGAACTGCAGGGTAGCACGGACACATGACAATTAAAGATTGACTGAACCAGCCTTTGTCTCTTGGTCTTACGTCGCAAGCCATTATCTCGTGAAATATCTTGTCGGAAGATGTCTTGATGCAAAATTTCGACAATGGCTGGAGTAATACAGAGAGGTTAAGGCAGGTATTCACCATATTATTCTACAGACCGAGCTGCTGTCCACCAAAAATTCGAACAATTGTAACCTTATCACAGTTCCACCGGAGCGCCTCCACGATCAACGGGATCTATTTTCTGTTCAATTCGGTGAACGACATGTCTGTTTGTTTAGTTGCAAATAATTGACTTTCTCGCCTCACAGGCACACTGTACCAATGCGGCTCTAGAGTTTCACGTTGAAATCATTTGAGGGATCCTTAGGTCCCCAACCGCCCCGCCACTTCCCGACCATCTCGGCCGAGCACAAAATCACCACTCCCTCTACAGTACGACCGTCAGTTGACAACCTGGGCTTACAATGGTGTGACAACCTTTAATCCAGCCACGGTCATTTCCCTCCATCCAACTCGCTGATCTCAATCAAAGCTCAACGATAACCTTCTCCCGCACCAGTGAGTAAAACGGCACACAGCAGATTGTGGCTTGCATCAACAGGGTGACATTTCGTCAAAGCTTACGGGAAGTTGACGTGGCGCTGCACGCCGTTTTGCACAGCGGGTACACCATGTACCAGTCACTTAATTACCTTACTAACCTCTGTACGGGATCCGAGTAGTCAATGTCTCGGGACGCGTTAATTCAAGGAGCTTGCCCTTTAACCCTCCCGTGCGCTGTTTCAAATAACCTAACTCAGATCAGCGGGATCTGGAAATAACAAAAACCCCGTATTCACTGTGTTACCATACGACGGTGCATGGGGGGAAGGGATAGCTAATCTCACAATGGCAAGGCGCTAAACCCGCACCACTACCACTGCGGAGCTGACGTGACCCCTAATAAGGGACAGCGCATCAGGGAGTCTCGTATTATCTATCCCCTCTGCAGATAAAAAAACGACCCTTCGACTGAAAGGCTGAACAAAGGGCGTTTTGTATATATCCACAAAGATATTAAATATTGTTCCTTTATCTTCTTTTATTTCCCCTCTTTTTGTCGTTTCCACGTCATCGTAAGAACCCGCTTGTAATTATTTCGTTGGCCTCTACTGGCGTTACGCTACACGAGGCCCCCCTCCCTCCTCCACGAGATTAGCGCCAGGCACAGATCATCCAAGACAAGGCCCCCCCCTTAGCTCTGCATGTTGCATTTGCAGGTGGTTTTATATAGAAACAGTCCAACAGAAAAATTCCCGCCATCTCCATTTTTAGTTCTTCCAACCTCTCTTGCTCTGTTCTCGAGGTTTCAATTCCCATCTTCTTTATTAATTGTTTCGTTTCCCCGGTCACTCACTACGCCGGGTTAACAAATTCCCATCTTATTTCCTTCCCCTGTCTTCTTTTTTTCTTCTATTCCCGATTAACTAAAAACATCTCAATTGATTTGGAGAGATGTTGTCCGCTCTTTTCCTCGCCATCGCGGCCCCAGCGTTGGCTCACGCTGCCGCTCCCCAGGAAGATGGCCTTATTCGCTTCCCCCTCAAGGTTTCCACCGGCGCGCCCGTTGTAAAAGGCGTCACCAAGCGCCAGAACGAAGTCGCCCTCGAGAGCCAGCAGAACGGCTTTTTCTACAGCATTGACGTTGAGCTCGGTACCCCGGGGCAGAAAGTCACCGTCAACCTGGACACGGGCTCTGCAGAGCTCTGGGTCAACCCCGTCTGCTCAAAGGCGCAGCAGCCTGCGTTCTGCGAGTCGTTTGGTCACTTTGGCGAGAGTAGCACTTGGGTTAACCTCAACACTACTGGCGGTGTTGTCTACGGCACTGGGTATGCTTATTGGAACTATGGCTACGACCATGTTGTCATTGGATGTGAGACAGGCCGCATTCCTCACCGTCGCTGAGACATACTGACTTAATTAGCTGCCAATATTCGCAACCAAGTTTTCGGTGTCGCATACGATAGTTCTTTTACCAGCGTCGGTATCATGGGCGCTGCGCCTGATCTGAACGGTTGGGATGCGCCCTACCCCCTCGTCATTGACAGCATGGTCCGACAAGGTCTTATCAAGAGCCGCGCATTGAGTCTCGACATCCGTACCCTCGATAGCGATCGCGGCGCCGTTATCTTCGGTGGTCTCGACACCAAGAAATACACCGGCCACCTCGAGAAGCGCCCCATCATCCCCGCCGAGTCCTCCCCCGATGGTCTGACCCGGTAAGTCCCCCACGCTCAATTGACGAGCGCGCCGTCTAACAGTCGCAGTTACTGGGTTCACCTCGACGGTATCAGCATCATCCAAGACGACGGCTCCGAAGACGCAATCTTCTCCCAGACCAACGGCCAGCCCGTCCTCCTCGACAGCGGATACACCGTCAGCGCCCTCCCCGGCGCCATCTTCAACAAGATCGTCGCAGCGTTCCCCACGGCCCAGCGAACCCCCGGCGCTTACGTCGATGTCGATTGCTCCGTCGCCGATCTCAAGGGCACCGTCGACTTCAAGTTCGGCAACACCGTCATCAAGGTCCCCTACGCAGACTTCATCTGGCACAACGACGATCGCTGCGTTCTCGGTGTCTTCCAGGACGATGAGTTCCCTGTTCTCGGCGACACTTTCCTCCGCGCTGCCTACGTCGTGTACGATTGGGATAACAGGAATGTCTGGCTGGCCAACAACGAGGACTGCGGTACTAACCTCGTCGCCATCGGTACTGGCCCCAATGCCGTGCCTGACTTGGTTGGTGAGTGCGGCTCTGACTCTACCACTACTTCTGGAGCTCCTACTTCCACCGAGACTGCGTCCGAGTCCGTCACCGAGTCGGTTTCTTCTGCTGAGACAACCGCCGATACCACCCTTTCCTTCTCTACTACTCGTTACTCCAACACTACTTTCACAACCTCCAAGCCTGGATCAACCTCCACTGGTGGATCTGGCAACACTTATGTTCTCCCTACTACTTCCGCTCCCTCTACGACCATCACTTCCACCGTCACAACCAGCAAGGTCTACACGGTCACTGCCTGCCCTCCCAGCGTCACCGACTGCCCCGTCGGCCATGTCACCACCGAGATCATCACCTCTCTCACAACATACTGCCCCGGCTCCGAGGCCACAGGCGTTGCTCCTCAGCCCACCAAGGCTCCTGTCAAATCGACTCTCACATCGACCCGCGTGTACACCATCACTTCATGCCCCGGCTCCGGCTCCTGCAACAAGGGCGACGTCACCACCGAGATCGTGCACAACACGCAGATCATCAACCCCGAGCAACCAACCGGCGTGTTCACCATCCCCGAGGCTATCCACTGCGGCTTTGGAAACTTTGGCTGCAAGGAGGCTACCACAAAGGGATACCGCACCGTCACCATCACATCGGTCGTCAAGGCGCCCAAGCCCACTCCTGTTCCTGGTTACTGCACTACTTGCGGACCTCCTGGCTCCAACTCTCACAACAACGGTACTTTCACGGGCCACTACACCAAGCCTGGTTATGAGCAACCCACCAAGGGCCACGCTACACAGGATTACCCTGAGCCCACTGGCACTGCTTCCAAGC